CTTTCTCTCTCTCTCACTCTCTCTCTCTCTATCTCTCTTTCTCTCTCTCTATCTATCTCTCCGCCTGTCGATCTAGCATTATGCTTCAAGCGTTTATAAAAGCGTTACACCCTACCGACCTTATATGTGCAAATTTCAGGGAGGAGAAATGTAATGGCAAGGTTACCCTATTTGCATACATCTTCTAAGCACATGACCGTAATGACAAATGAGCATACACGTCCTTCAATCGTATTTTCATAATATCACAAGAGGATCTAGCGCAGAACTGAATAACCACGCACACACAAAGCGAAATATTCTTTGCATAGCTAGCTAATGCGAACGTATTTCACTAAGAGCCAGAACTTTATACGTGTCCGTATACCTACAGGTATGACAATATCTGAGTGAATCATGGTTAATTTTACCACATGCGCGAGTATACGTAGTCAGTTATCATGAATGACGAGTAAATTCATTTAGCAAGGTACATTGCAGCGATCGCGTTTTAACTTTAAGAACACTTTCGCACTTTTTACAGCCGTACCGGGCTCAAAGTCAATAGGTTAGACGCCACAACACACGCGCGTGTCAAATGAACTAAAACTATACACCTGTATCTTTACCAGAAACCTCCCTTTTTCTCTCACTTTAACCAAATCCGATGAAGGCGTTCTTACCAATCTGTTGTGCGTACGCTGTCTGGAAAATCCAGGCGAAATTCACCACCACAAATACGAGGAAGTATCTACGCGTGGCCATAGCCGAACTCAAGCAAGGCTAGCACAGCCGCAGCACTGCGAACGCTTGCTCGGCAGAATATACGTTGTCTACAGAGAGCTAGAACTGGCTGTACGACTATCACGCGAACAGCACACGCGCCTAACTAACAAGTGGAGAGCGTCAGTGTCAGTGAACGTTACAATCGCAATCCCGCGCAGGTAATATTATAATCTGGGCCAGTTCACCTGGGAGCAGTCACCGACACACGTGTCATGCCCGACTGGGCGCAAACTTCCACACGCGCAGCCGACATGGCGCTGCCCACTACAGTGGCGACACCTGTAGGGTGATCAAGAAAACAAACGACCGTGGATACGGAGAGACGTTGATATTGACAGGAGTAAATTATCACAAACTCACAAATTTATCAAAACTCCCGATAGTGATGATGAAAGTTGAATAAATACTGATGACTGTGCCGATGTGCTGTAGACTACACACAAGTACACGCATGGGCTTTTACATGTTGTGATTGGGTTCTCCTGCCAATTGAGCCTTTGCTCACAACAGGTTGAGCATTTGAACAACAGGTCATGCCTGTCACACATTTGAAACAGTAACAGTGAATTTGTGAGAGAAAAGAAGACTAGACCGTTGAGAATATGAAAGAGTAACAAAACTGTATAGATAAACTCAATGCGATCAATGTATGGAAATTTATTCAAGCAATAATATTTACATATTTACAATCCGTTCACTTTGGAATATGTTTGATGCTATAAAACGTGGGCGGTAGTCTCAATCGAACCTACACACACCATTTATGTACTAGAGATACAAGCATGAAACAACAACAGTACTCTTGTCTGTACAAGGAAAACCTGATCACTGATTTTCCTCGTAGTTCAACTGTGAGCGCCATCTAGTGTAGAACATGTCAACCGCTTGGGGTTGGTTCGGAAGGCTCGTTGACCAGTACTTCACGATTCTCGTACATCCAGAACCCATTCAGATCTATCAGGATGGTGACCACTGTGTCCCCTTGACCACTGCAACAGTTGTGCATGCAGTCATGTAGCAGAGCTTACAACCGATTCACGCCAACACCTCGTATATTCTGATCTGCAGTGTACATAGCCCATCAAAATATCATACAGCACTCACTATCGTTATTAATCGTTATTGATGCTATGATCCTTATAAAAAATTACGTTTTAAATCTTACAAAGAAAAAATGTATCGTTATTCATTATGGTCATTATAAGTAAAAACATTTTATTTTAAAGCTTACTGAATATTAAAAGTGCATCTTAACAAGTAGAGTTTAACATGAATAATTTTACAACACGCGAAATAATTCTGAACTGGTCAATTCAGG